GCTACCTGTACTACCTGCTAGGGATTTCAAACCGACCGGTGGAGCGGCGGGAAGGAACCGTTTCCCCCACCACGCCCGCTTGCGGCCACCTATCCTCTATATCACCTTACTCGAGGGGGGAGGGAGGTAGCGCCCGCCGACGGCGAGGTAGGCCACCCGGTAGACACCCGTGCGTCGCGGCTGCGAGGATTTGCCTACTCGCACCGCGCCTCGAAGGCCGCCCGGCCCGTCCTCTGTAGCCCACCCTCCGGGCGCCCAATCCGCCCGCGGCCGGGGAGCAGCAGCAGCAGCAGCAGCGCGACACGGGGCCGCGGCGGCCGTAACTCCACGTCATTCCGACAAAGCCGGGCCGCGCCGCATGGGGTTGGCACACGGGCGCGCCGCCGCTCGGCTCTCGGGCGCTGCAGCAGGATGGATGCTGTTTCGCGCATTGTAGGCATACCGCAGCGGCGCAGACGCGGCCAGATGGGGGAAGGGCGGCGGGCGGCCCGGGCAGCAGGAAGTGCACCCCGCGCCCCGCCAACACCCTCAACCCAATTCTCCGCCACTTCGTCTCTTTCTATTTTTTTTCCGTCGCGCCGCGAAGCGTAATTGTATATTCCGCTGTGGAAATAAATAAAGGAGAATGCGGGTCGCTCCTTGGCGCCCCCGGGAGGTCCAGGTGAGGCAGGGGGGGGGGGGCGCCAGGTGTGGGTGAGGAGTGGGGGCGCCGCGGCCCCAAATAACGGCGGGAGCCGCAAATATTTAACATTCCAGTCGCGCAGAGCGGGAAAAGGGAGGGGGGGGCACTCGCTCACAGATAAGGGTATATGGGAATGACGATAACATGAGCAATAATGACGACGATGATGATGATGTTCGACCGGTGAGAACAATAACAGCATGGCGTAGCTTTGCGTCGCCTCGAGCCGCGCACGTAGTCTCGTCGTGACGACCCCGGGCCCGGCTACGAGCAAGGCAACACGCAGCTCGGCCGGGGACCGGAAATTGGCCAGCGGCGAGGGGAGGAGGTAGTCCGTCCCGTCCGGCGCGGGTCCGGTCTCGCCCGGCACGCGCAGAACCGGGGGAAGGGGGGCGGAGGCGACCACCACAGCCCAGCGCGCCGGTGACTGATGACGGCTCGAAGGGCACACGTGGAAATTGGATGCAAAACACACACACACACGACGATACTGACGCGCGCGACGGTCGGCAGCGACCACAGCGAACCGATAATAACAAAGCGTTTCGGAACAGGGAACAAGATGGGCGCGACCATTACACTCAGACCCAATCAACTCCAGCACAAAAAAGGAAAAAAATCGTCGTACATTTCGCGCAACTTTTACTTGCAAGAAAAACAACAATCATGTTCCCAATTCAAGAACATTTTTAAATGTTCCGCCCCATGTTCTTGGTAACAGGGGGTAAAATAAAAACAATTGCCATAACATTTTATGAATATTTTCAAATTAACGAACAGTCGTGTCAGTTATTTTTTCGTAGTGTACCAAAGTACACACGTGTTTGTGGTTTGCAGGTGAATAAGTATAGACTCCGATCCTCTTCTGGCGACAAAGCTCGCGCCAGCCTCTGGACTCGGCCATTCTCGCTAGTAGTGTGTCGGACCGCAGACGCTTTGGTGTTGGCTCGCCGTTCCACGTGCTCCCCGCCCCGCCTCCCGGGCGGGGGCGGTTCCCGGCGGTTCCCGGCGATTCCCGGCGGTTCTCGGCTGCGGCCGGGCCGAGGGCCGGGTGGGCCGGGCTCGCGGCGGCCCCCTGAACGCCGGCATCCCATCCCATCCCGACCAAACATATTCAGCTGCCCGTTGAACAGGGCCAGGAAGTGGGGGGAGCAGAGCATGCGAACTTGCGGCCGGCATTGAATCCCACCCTGACAAGGCTACACCGCCGGAACCAAAACCAACTTGCCCAAACCAAATAAGCGCTTATCAGAATCGCAACCCGACACAGCCCAGCCTTCACGGAAGGACGTTTGCGGCGAGAGGGTAAAGCAAAGACTGCGCGAGTAACGAGGTCGGGGAATACGTACACTGCACAACTATACTGTGGAACAATATCAAGTCAACAGGAGCCGGGAGCCGGGGCCGAAACCGCAGGTGGAGAACCATTATACATGTACCACTCGCACAACCCACGGAAACCTAGTTGGGCAAAACCAAAGGAACCGAGTAATCAGTCGCCAATCGTTTTTGTTAACCGTTCGTATAGCAGTCGAGTTAAACCCGGTTAAACCTGTTTCGTCCAGGTAGGTTCACGTACGAAATCTACTCTAATACACCGCCTTTAAACCACCCCACGCATACGTCCGACCTTCGCCCCAACCCCAGTCCGTGCCCTGTCACCTCGCCATCCCTCACCCTTCAGCCCTACACTCCATTAGCAGAGAGAGGTGCTGCCCGGTCGCCCTGCCCCGCCCTGCCCCGCCCCGTCCCGCCTCACCCCAACCCACCACGCCCAGCCCGGCTCGTCAGCAGACCTCGAGCTGAAGTTTGGAGCGGCGCTTTGTACGTACCCCCGCGGCCCTGGCAGGCCCTACCCTCTCTGGCCGCCCCACCTAGCGAGCCAGCGGAGCCAGCAGCAGGGGCCATGGCCAGGGACCCCCTTCGCGGGACCGGCGGTCGCGGGGTAGGGGGCTAGAGCGAGCGAGTGAGCGAGCGCGAGAGAGAGAGAGAGAGAGAGAGAGAGAGAGAGAGAGAGAGAGAGAGAGAGAGAGAGAG